TTGAATAAATTATTGTTGATTTATTTAACATCCACTAGAAAATGTAAAAAAATAATTAGAAACATTCAATTTTTTATAATAATTATTTATTATAGAATATAATACGAAATATATTTCGGGCAAAGCAATTTTAGGGATTTAAGAATATTTACGTTTTTGCAATCAACAAAATATATTCAGAATAATTTAAAGTAGTTTTATATACAGATAAAAAATTAAACATAAAACAAAATTTAATTTAATTTAATTTATACAAAAACCAATATATTAGAAATATCAATAAAAATACTATGTTTTACAATGAAATATATATAATCATATATATGTTTTTTTTCAATTTTGTGTAATAATTTCTGAGTTTAGTTTTTTGAAATGAACAGATTCATTTTCGTTATTCAATAATGAAATGTTCGTGTAGTGTTGTAATATTATTTCCTGGTAATATTTTAGACGTTGGGGTCGAAAGATTATTTTTCAACGATGTTTTGTCCACGTTCAATGAATTATTTACTATTGTAATTTTCTCTATAGAAGTTTTAGAGGGCTCTTTATCGCTTTCAATAATCGGAGTTAGCGTAAATTTATCTTCTTTGAGTGATAGTTTTAAAATTTAATTATTTGACATAATAGGTATCTCCAAATTAATATGATATAGTCAAATAGGATGTGTACTAATTTATCACGGAAAAAAACTTAAGGATAAAATCACCATTCGGTGTCGATTTAAACAACATTATTTCTCTTATTTGAGCAAAAAAAAAAAGTATTATTTAATTTTTATTTAAGCCAATTAATAAAAACAAAAATTTTTTTACAATTGGCCAATAATTATTAAATTTGTTAAATAAAATGTGTTATTTTGAATATTAAATGTAATTAATATAAAGTTATAAACTGTACCAATATAATCACTAAATAAAGCTACTGTCAATTACTTAAAAATTAATTATATTCTAAATAGTATTTCTATGAAACCAAAATTAGAAATTTTTTTTATAACATTCCTTTGATAATAAATTATTCGGTCACTATGTTACAATTGCTTTTTATTCTGACGTACCTGATATGTATAAATCGAAGAATATAAAATAAATATTGGCTGAAAACAACCTAGGTGACCGTGAAATAACATATTTATCTTTGAATTAATAAAAAAATTTTTCGTTGGCTAAAAAATCGGAAAAAAAGAAGAATAAGAGAGAAGGAGAAAGAAGAAGATATAATTTATTGAGTAACATGTTACAAAAAAATTTAGAATATTATAGAATGACAGGAGAACACACAAATAAAGTTAAAAAATTNCAGGAGAACACACAAATAAAGTTAAAAAATTAATAAATTACAAAGTAATATTATTCAACGTTGTAGTTGAAACATATTATCATATCAAACCTAATTCGACAATATATACTTTAAAAACATTATAAATAAATTATTTTAATTGTCTATATGGAGAAATTTATTTGGTTAAGAAATTTTATTTGATAAAGGGGAAATCTTATTTAATTTTTCAAGGTAATATCATTAATTAGATACTATTTATGATTATTTGACGTTTCGTAAAAAAAAATTGGTTAAGTGAGAGCTAAAAAAAATGATTGACAGACACAAAAAA